GGTGTTTCATTTTTGTTTACTTATTTGTTTTCTAAGATTTTTTTTTTTTTCCTCTGGAGCAACTGCTATTTTTGCAGAAGTTTTCCTAGATAGAGCAATTTGGGAAACAACAAATCAAGGTGTGTTTTGTGATTGTTGTTTTTGTTGTTGTTGTCGGTATTCCACATCGTAGCGTCATGTAAAGCACTGGGTATTAAAGAGTTAATGCTCCGGTTCCGTGGACCGCCGTTTCTGGGCGCTTTGTTCCCTGAGGAGGGGCTGCATCCCGGAAGGGAGTTTGATGTTCCGGAGGGGGAAGGTGCAGCTCCTCGCAGGTCAGGAGCCGCTCTTTGTTCGCTGCCGAGGAGCACTTGCTCCCCTGCGCTTTTGCCTGCAGTCTATAGAGTAAAGCCTCAGTTTTGGACGCTCTCATTTTCTTTGATTTGTTGGTTGCAATTCGAATTGTAATGTGTTGTATTGTTATCTTGCATTCTGGGATCATATTTAGCAAATTAATGTTCCTTCTCGGATCATTGCCGCTGCTGTTTTTTGACCCATCTATCATCTCCCTGCTCTTCCCCCTTTCCTGGGGTGTAAGTCCACAAGTTCCCTGTCTCATTAGTCTCGGGCTGAGCTAGACCAGCCTGTAAATGGTTTACACTTTTTTTTTCATCTCTTTACTTTTTTTCTGGGCTGGTGGACCTGTGGGTCTACTGTCCCCCTGTCAAAGATACAGCTAGATCTAGAGATAACACTGTGACTCAAGGAGATTTGCTTGGTTCCACTGGTTTAAGAGGATATTTCATTTGGAGGCATTGTTCCTGTTTGTTGCATTGGAGAGAGAAGACAATTTTCCAGTGGTGCCAAGTTTAGCCTTGCCCTACAGAGTAAATGAAATACCTGAGGTAGTTGGCAAGGAAATTATGCAGCAGAACTGACTTGTAAATTTACATGGAATTGAGGTGTAGATCAACACTGTAGATCTTGGACAACTTGACCACAGATCCTGCTAGGAGACGAAAAAAAAAAAAAAAAGAGCATGAAATATGATGCAGAAGTGTTTTTCTCTGAAAGGTCTGCAAAGTTGGAGATATAAACAGAATTTTATTATACTATTATTATATATTATTATTATTTTATTATTTGGAAAATAATTGACTCTTTGGCCAAATTAGTCCAAAATAGTTGCCAAGAAAGGATTGTACCTGGAAAACTTTAAATAAAAGAGAAGTTTGTGTGTTTTCTTGGATTTGAGTGCTTTCCAGGGTTCTTTGAGGCAGAGCTCCTGAGCAATGTGCCTTCAAGTGTCCACTTGTAGCAGTTTGAGCTAGGCTGGTACACCTAAAGAAGACCAGAGTAAGTGCAATATAAAGCAGTGTGGGATTCCAAAGCCAGGAAAATCAAGTTCTTCCTACATTCCTAACGGAAAGCATGATAGATACTCTAAGTAGGACTTCTGTTTATGGAGATAACTGGTAGGGCAATGTGGGTAACTATAACCATTTTAAAAAAAAGGTGTGGTAACATCCCAGATATTGTTCATTTAATTTGGGATCTGACAAAAGATAACTTGTTTCTGAGCAGCTCACCTACTCCTCTGTATTCAAGCAGAAACAGATGGAGGGAATATGGAATAACAATCAGTATTCCTAAATAATTTAAGCTTACGTCCACGTGCACATGAAAAAGAAATAATTCAAATCAGTCTTACCGTCTGTGGAAGAGAGTTGGCTGAGTTACCTTCAAATACAAATGGCAGGATGTTTACAGAAGAACAGTGAACAGACTGTAAATTCCCATCTTACCTTACCCCAGAATTACTTGCTTCTTTGCCCACACACCTCAAGGTATGTTTTATGTGAAACTCCCTTCCAATCTTTCCTGCTGTCTGGATGTAATTTTACCACTTCTGGCAGACTGTGACACATTAGTCTCTGTCCAGCCTTGCTGCTCACAAAGGGAGAAATAGGATGATCAGGATGATTGGGACACTTAAGACTGTGGTTTATAGAAACCATGTCTGACCTAATGATGAGGCGACAATAGGTGTTAGGTAAACTGCTTCTTATTCTGTACTTTGTTATTCAATACATACAGTAGAGCTGACAAACTTAACTCATCTACTTGGAATTCGTTGAAATCTAAAGATTTAAGAGCAGCAGAAAGTTGCAGTTTGCTTCTTTACACGTGTCTTTCAGTAGTACATGGTTGCTATTCAACAGTGCAGAATACTTAGCATATGGAAACAGGGGCTTGCATTCTGTGGTTTAATGTAGAAATGTGCCATTTTTTAGTTTGCTCCTATTTATCTTATTGAAGGATAGTTATTTTTCAAGTCAGGGAAGAAGGGTAGTACTTATAGAATAGGCAGTAAATTAGGAGAAAGTACATTCAGGATGTGAATCGCATCATAGCTGAATCAAATTCAATAATCAAATTAGAAAAAAACGAACAACAAAGTGCTATGAGTATACTGGAAAATATTCTTCTCTAAAGAGTGTATTAGACACCATGATTATCAACTTATTGTTCTGAGCCCTTGTCAGAACCAAGAATGGGAAGGAATGAGGACACTGACAGTTGCTCAAATCATGAGAAAAATAGCTTAATATTTATATTTTAGCATGAAGGATCTAAAATTGAATACAATTTCTAATGATGAAGATTGAGTAAATGCAGAAGAAGAATAGATAAATTTCTCCACAATTTTTGGTATGCAATCCAACCCTGAAACACTTAGACATTCAAGATAGCATTTATGTCTTTTTGGATGATGTAGCTGAAATGCTAAGTCATGGCCTGAAACATTGATTGAGCACCTGGTGGGAAGGCAGGGCCAACCCGGGGAGCTCATGTGTATGCAATGTACCTGAGTGATCAGAAGAGGTGGAGCCAGGATCATTTACGGGTTGGCAGTGGAGGTGAGGGTACCTCTCATTGGAGATTCCTGCCTACCTGGGGCCTTCTAAGGGTAAGCAGCTCTTTTCCTTCATTTCTGTATTCATGGCTGCATTTGGGCTCGTTCTCATTTGCTGTAGTCAAAGATTTTGCTACCTTGCTGTTGTCATCCTGTTATAGCATTACAGAAAATATCTCAGTGACTCTCATATTTGTTTGGCCTTTTGCACAGGGACAGTATTCTGTTTAAAGTTTCAAATAAAAGTATTGTTAAAGAAAATTGCCTGAAGGAAAAAACCTTCTTTTCAAAGTTAATTGTGAGGAGTTATCATGAGACCAAAGGTCAACATAGAAGGAGTTTAAAGTCATCTTTGGTAAATTAACATTTTTTTCTCTCTCTTCTTTCTTTAGTGGATTTACTTCATTTTCCTTTTTCTATTCATTTGTTGCACAAATGTGATTTCTTAGGCTGAATATAAAAACATATTTCTATCATGAAATATTCCTTAATTTGTTAGACGCGATTCTTGTGAAATCTCAAGTTTTAAAAACTACGTTCAGTAACGTTCTAGACAGTTTGAACTCTCTAGATTCTGGTTACTTGTTGCTTCTAAATATAGGGAAATTATTTCTTTTCTAATATGGTCTTGTTACTTCAAATCTTTGGTATCTGGGCTTTTTCTGTTTCTTTCTGTCTCTTATTTTTATTATTTAATCATTTTATTCTTAAGGGAAGAAATGTGCCTCTCCTCTTCCTTTTGTCTTTCAGTAACATTTTAGCTCCATGTTCAGGGTATTTGTTTGACCTTTCATATCTCCAACATCTAATGACATTTGTTAACTTTCGTATAGATGAATGACCTTTTAACTCTTAAAAAAATATTAATTTCCCACTTTCTTTACTTTTTCTCTTTGTGCAGGTAAGCTTTGCTTTTTCTTTTTACTTGCTTTAAAGACTTAGGGTGAAGTCCTGGCCCTCGTTAAGCTGGGGGAAGTATTTATGTGGACTTATTTGGGTTCAGATTTTACTACTGGTTTTACTATGAAGACAAGGTTGTTGCCCACATTTGCTAGTAAACACATGGCTCTTTACTAAGTCTTTTTTTCCTCTAATTTCCTCTGTCTGTAAGCATGGAATTTTCAGGATTTGCTCTTGATATATGGTAGCTCTATGTCTAGAGGAATGGCACAAGAAAATACCAATTGAGTTTATACTGAAGTTGGAAAAAAATCTTTTCCTCATTCAAAATTATGTGTATGAGGCTTATGCGTAAAATCATCATCTGTCTGCACTACGCAAGAGGGGACAGCCTCTGTTTCTGTAATTTTGCTTAGCCAAGTGGCTATTTTGGTAGGTGAGGTGCATTTCTACTGGGTAAAAATATGAGCTTTGAAGACAAAAAAAACAAAAAGTCTGTAATAGCTATTCCAAGATCTATGGCAAATGCAAATTGCCTCATGAGAATATTTCTTTTGTTGACTGGTAGATATCTCATGTGATTTAAAAAAACATTTGGTGAATTTACAGCGGCCACTAAATGAGAGAGAGAGAACTATTATCACCATTTCATGTTAAATTTATTTAATATGGTACCCATTCCAAAGTGTGTCACTCTGCTTTTTTGTTTAAAAAAAACTCAGAAAAACCCATGTGGAAGTAAGATTTTGCAATCCAGTGAAATCCTAAGGAGCGTAAAAGGACATTTTTTTTTTCTTCAAGGTTCCTAATAGCTCTCTAATTATTTGCTGTAAGAGGGCTATGTACATCTCTGTATTCCCATGACAGTGTTCTTATGGTTTATTTTAGTTGATTCCTTTGGGAAAGATGAATACATAAAGAATTGAGCTATATATAAACTGTGATTCAGAACTTTCATTTCTACTGTAGTGGTCTGCCTGTGTAAGATGACAGTCTGTCTAGGTAACAGATTCAAGAAAAAATTAAATGCTTTCTGTTGTCTAACTCTCATTTTTAATTGTAGAATTTCTGTAGGCATGTCTGGGTGACATGGTTCCAAATGTTTTTTTAGTTTCAAAATAATTTATGACTATTCCTGCTTTAAATGTATATACATTTTAGCTCATTTTAATGGTTCTCTGATGAAATGTACATTTTCTTGCAGGGACTTTCGTATCAACAAGTGGGAGAATTAATTTCTATGTAACACTTGCAATGCAATATTTTTCCTCTGATTTCACTGGTAACGTGTCTTAGGAGGTGGATTTTATTTTCCTCTGCTGTCTTATATAAATACCCTGCTCTTACAAGGGAGTATTTTAGGAAGTGCTAATGTAAAGAAACTACTAAGAGCAAGACAAATAAATGCAACATATCCTGTTACGTGATGCATGTAGATGTATACATCCACAACAAAATACTGTTTGTAGCAGCTTAGCAATACCTGCACAAAGCCATCTGTTCTTCAACTGCAATGTTGTAAATATATGTAAGAGTTCTAGACTTTGAGAACTTGGAAATCAGCCCCCACAAGCAGTGCTGTTTCAACAGGAAGAGTCTGGTTTTGAGGCTGGGACCCACAAGGGGTAAAGAATGTCATCATGTCCTTGGGCTGCAAGGCTGCTTGTGTGGTGAAGTCTCCCTGATGAATACATTATTGGATATATTTGTAGTGGTTTCTTAGCACCCTTGCAGCAATTTTTTTTTTTTTTTTTTTTTTTTGTTGCAGATCATCTCCTCCTGAGGTCTCAAAAATAAAAGCCAAATTCATTTTTCAACTATGTAGTTAAAAAAGGAAACTGTTTTTGCAAAGCTTCTGTGTGTTTTATTGCTTTCTGATAATTATAGTCAAATATGTTGTAAATATTTTTCCCTGGTTTCTTTTGTAGAAATAAAAAATCCTGAAGGTGAGTTCATGCAAAAGGGATGGGTATCTGTATGACTGGAACTTAGCTTCTTAAGTGTACAAAATGGCTCAGCTAGTTCATTATATTGAGAATTCATTTTATGATTACGCATTTGGTGATTTTTTTTTTTGTTGTTGAATTGGATCTTCTCTGACATTTTTCCACATTTGTTATTGAAAAGCGGTGTCATTCATAATTCATGTTGGCTTATCCTCATGGGATATTTGCTGTCTTTTTCTCCCAGAATCAAATGTTAAAATGACACATAACTAGGGGACATTTAAAGATGCAAAATTACTAATGTGTTGTTTGAAAAATGTCATTTTTTTGGTGTTCATAGATTTATTTATAGGAGTGCAGAGTTATATAAAATGTTGTAGTACAAAAATTCTGCCTGAAATAGACCAAGAGAAGTCCATCTCCAGTTAGACCATGACAAGTCCCTTGAGGCTATGCTAGGGCTTTACTGTGATTCATCTGCAAGGTATCTGTAGCATTAACTCAGCTCTGAACTAAGCAGCGTATGTCAGCAATCCAAATACAATTTCTCCAGGGATGTACTGCTGAAAAGGTGTCCAGTTTTATTGTAAAGGAGTGTTCTGGCATAACGTGTGTGGGAGTAGAATATAGAGACAATGCTTTCTCGTTGACTTCTGTAACCTCAGCTTTCTTTTTGCTAGATAGCAAACAATGAACAGAGGATCTCTGATGTTGGCTTCTGCAAAAACCGCATGTGTAGATTCCTTTTCCTCATGCATTTTTATTTAGAGGTCCTAAAGAAAGCCGCTTGCTGTTGCTTTATGGAACTAGGAGTGAGACTGATTCATGAGGACAAATGCAGAAAACTCAACGTAGACTCTTCTCAAAAATGTTTCCAAGAGCCCTTTACTCCAATGTCTCCAAACTGAGGAAATCTCCATCGCATTCTTTAGACATTGCCATGAGGTATGCATGACTACAGATTTTAGTGAGGCACACTAAGTTCTGGTGTGGAAAAGGGAATCTTTTAACTTTCAGGAAGGGAAAATATTCTGTCCTTCGGTTTGGGGTGACATAGTTTGTTCTGTGAATGCAGGTAGCTTTTGTAGGACTTTGGCCTTTTTGAATCACAGATAATCCTTGGTCTTCCCATGGAGTGATACAGCTTTGTTCTAGTACCAGTGTGAATGTGGATGGCCTGAGTATACAGTTAGTCCTCAAACCTGAGAATTGGCCATACTCTCTTTTCCTCTCTGAAGCATCAAACTTGGATGAAATTATGATTGAAAAGAGGAATCACTAGATAAAATTCTGTGAACTGTGCTAAGTGGCCACCGTGATCTATTTTGGCCTTAAGTTCTGAAAATTATGTTGATTGTTGATCCAATTTATAACATCACTTATCTGCAAAAGGAGTTACGTGCCACCACCGCCTACTGTTTCTTGATTGTCCTGACTGGTTAAATGGATGAATAAATGATAGAGATCTTAAAACTGGTTTGTGAGTTCCGTAAATGTCTGTCTATTATTACACTGTTTAAGGGCAGAAAGTGTAGAATAAAAATACTATATTTGAAAATGTGTTCTTGTTTCCTTTCTTCCTCTATTTAGTGTAACTTGGCCATAACTTTGCATTTAGTTATGTTTAAGTTCTGACGCTTATCCTTGGTGGCTTGCATTCTCAAAAGATTATAGTCTATATTGTTCCACTGATGTCAGTGGAGTATGCCAATTTATATATCTGCTGTACGGTGAAGCATAATTCATTCAAAACTAGAATTGAATACCTTTCAATCTGTTGTCACTCTTTGTTCTCTAGGATGAACTGGAACTAATTACATTGATTTATTTTTTGGTTTTTTTTTTTCAAGTTACTGAAAATGTGCATTATTATTTGGATTTAATATAAATTTTGCACTGCTTGTAATTCTTCCTCATGCCTGCTGTTGGAAATGCATCAGTAAATAAAAGTGAGCATAACTGACAGCTCTGTAGAGGCTGAAGGTAGGCTGTGACCTAAATGAGGACTGTTCTCATAATGAGAGACAGCTGAAAGTTTATGTACATAGAGCCACTAAAATAGATTCCCTGGCTCTTTTTCATGAACCAGCAGATGGTAGCAGAGTCTGTGGATCTCAGAGAAGGCAAATGTGCATTAAATAATGTACCTGCCCTCATTCATTAGCCATTCATCTTTACTTGTCAGCCTCTTTGTAAGTGCCTTCTGTAGTATTGACCCTGAAACTGTATCATTTAAACAGTAATCAACCATCTCCAGCACTTCCCCTTTCTTTTTCCCCTTTCTTTCACATATCAACGGCTTTGATTCCATTGTAATGTGGACTGCTGACAGCTGTAGGCATGTCTTTGTAGAAAAGAGATATTCATAAAATGGAATGAGGCAAGAGGAAAGGCTGACCTGCTGGATTGAAGATGGGAAGAGGAAGAACTGAAAGGAAAGAGGTGTGTGGGCATGGACTTGTCAGTCTTTTTACTAGTCTTTCGCGTGTACCTGGAATTACAAATGGCCCATCATTATAACTCTCATTTAGGACTTGCCAGAGTACTTAGTACCTGGCATAAGATTGCACAGAGAAAACATAGGTCCTGCTAATAGAGCCTAGCATTTAACCAAAGATGCTGTGTATAGGAATGAGCTAAAGGAATATGCTTTCTGGATTGAGACCAGCCGAGCTCTAATTAAATGGGTTTCATGGTGTCTTTTTGAGATGGGATTTGAAAGGCAAAATTGAAGCCTTCTATTTGTGAAGAGGGGGGAAGGGACCCCTGAAGACTGAGGTGTTTTTACCTGCCATTTTTGTGACTGAATCGCAGGGCTCAAAAGTTCGCATATTGTCAACAGTTATGTTGAAAATACTGTTGAGCTGTGAGCCATTCTGCAGTAAATGATGAGAAATGTTTTCAGGGTACACTGACAACCCAACGAATCCAACATGCCAAAATGATAAAGTCAAGCCTACCATTTTCTCCCTAGATCCTTTTTTTTTCTGAAGGGTCAACCACAGGATAAAAAAGTATGAGGAATGCAAAGTGTTCCATCTGACACCTGCTTCCATCATATTGGACTATCTCTTTTGCAGTGCTGGAAAAAATACAGGATTTTTTTTATTTCTTGTCCATGGACCCTACTGAGAGTTCAGGAAACTCATTTTTAAAAGTGTTATAACTGTTGCAGGCTCTAGATGGTACTCTGTAATCACAGTAATGTGGCCTGCCTTTTGCAATGGTCTTACTGTTTTTTTTTGTTGTTTTTTGTTTTTTTTTTTTGGCTTCAAAATGTGGGGAAAGTAAAATGAAGTCAGCAAGAAACCTACCAAATAAAAAATAAAAAGGTCGTAGGTTTTTGTTTCACACTCCATATTTAAATTAGCTTTCATTCATGTATAATGGACTAGATGTTCTTACAGCGCTTACCACATTAGGTTCTAATATTAATGAGTTGTGCTCTACTGAGCCAGTGCTTTCGTTACAGTTGCTGGCAAGGAAAGAGGAGAGATTAGTGCAGGATTCCCCAAGAGAAAAATGGTTTCTTTCTTGTGGTTCTGAGGTTTTCATTTGTTGTGATGTGTGTGCACAGTGTGCATGAACATCTGTGTATCTACATGTGATTTTGGGGGCATTCTACACTGAGGATAGCAGCTCAGCTTTCTGCTGAAGTCAGTGGACAGGGACTTATGTGAAGATGGGGGATCATTAATTGACAAACAAAAACAAAAAACCCTAGACCATCTCTAGCAACAGACTACTATTTGTACAGAATTTTTCATGATCTCGTGCTCCAGAGTTTAGTAGTAAAAAGAAACACTTTACTATTCCTGATGGCACAAGAGACATATATTATCTACAGGAGAGGAATGGGAGACCCTAAGTATTTTTGTATTCTGTTTTTAAGACTGCCTAACTGAGCCTGCACGGACAGTAGGATTAACGGCTATTTTCTACAGAGCTGCAATGAAGTCTCTGAGTGTGTAATAAGTGCTATAATATGGGTTTTCAGACTGCTTAAAAAAAAAAATACAAGTCCTAATGAATTTGCTTCCCTAGATATTTTTAACTCAAAAATAAGACTTTCTGTGAAACTGTGTGCAATTTCAGTAGAACTCTAACTCTAGCTGATACGATAGGCAAATTGTAATACATTTTATTTTCCAAATGTTATCTTACCAAATATGTAGTAATTCCTACTATTACATAAGCTCATTTTTATTCTTAATTTATGGTTAATTGTATGCCTGAAATGTGTGACAATTAGCCAAAGATGTAAATGCTACTCAGAGAGAAAAATGAGTATAATTGAATCAAAGAAGAAAAATCAAGGAATGGTTGAAGTTTTGTTCTTACAAATTCCTATTTGAAATTAGGTGTATGTGCTCC